GAACACAGATGTTAAAACAACAAACAAATGATCTGAGTTTAAAATTAAGATAAAATGTCCCTTTAGTATGTGTAAGAATAACAATTTACCTAATAAGCTAAGAGGACGTTCTATAAAAGTCAGATAGAAAACCAAATTATTCTCAAAAATAGCATTTGTTCTTGATCTGTTCTAATAAAAATATCTGGAGACTCTGCTGTAGTATTTCACTATTGTACAAGTCAATAGAATATAAATGTAATGAAAATTTCCACTATTTAAAAAGAAAATTTAAAGTTCAGAGAAAGTAAGTAGCCTGTTGGAGTGACAGAGAGGCAATGTGAACATGATCTCCCTAGCTCCAAAGTCCCTTCCCTTTTTTGTAGGCTAGTGGTTTTCAGCCTTCATAAAATAGCAGTTTGTTTTTTTTTTTTTGCCAAAAGTCATCTTAAGAAGAAGCTCAGTAGATAAAACAGTTAAAAGAAGAAGTTATAATTATGATGTAGGATCTGAAGCTCGCTCCCAGGCCCTCCCTGACCGCGAAGCACCGGGAGGACTTTCGGAAGCCTACAGGACTCAGTCTGAAAACCAGCACATTCCATCATGCTGCCTTTCTCATCTGTGGGTGAGCTATAAGCTTAAACCTGCAAGTGACTAAAACCCATCTTTTATTTTTCCTATTAAGCCCAGGCATTAAAATAGTTAAATTCGTCAATATAACTTGATCCTAATTTGAAAACATCAGTAAAATAGTATAATTACAACCTCCATAGATGTTAATGCAGAACCTATGTGTCTAATGTTTTTGAAAGAATAGTACTTTTTTTAAAAAAGTAAACATACCAATGACTAGGATGTTGTTCAGCTGCTCTACCCCATCAATTTTGGACAGCAACTGGTTGACGACAGTGTCATGAACTCCTGTGCTACCAGCCATGCTCCCTCTCTGTTTGCAGATGGCATCGATTTCATCGAAGATGATGATATGCAAACCACTGTTAGCACCAAGCTGTTAAGGGAAGAAATTATATTAAAGGTCATAATTTGAATGCATTATTAAACAAATCAAAAAAGCAAAACAAAGCTTTCAACAGATTGAGTTTGCTTCATTTTGATTAATAAATATAGCAAGTGTAATCATGATTGTTGCCTGCCCAATGGTGTTGGAACTGCAATCTCAGAATTCTGCAATCTGAAAATGCATTCCAGAACCTCATATTTAATAGCCATAAAACAAAAATACACATTACATACTGATATATAATGTGTATATATAGAAAGTCAATTGTTTATCAAATGACTATTAATTTATATACATTTCTTATCTCACTATTTGAAAGAACTCATACGTGTCAGATACATTTGTTAAGGAAGTGAGTGCGACTCTCTCCCATTTTCCCTGAGTTTTGGTGAGAAGATTGTCCCAGAAGCAGTAGGTTTAATGTTTGTTTTATCATATTATGTAGCTAAAGATTAACTCTACCCACAGGTTGCCTGGGAATTGGGTAGATGGGTGAAGATATTGAATATGATTCATCTTCACTTATATCACATGTAAACTGATTACTTCTCCCTAATAATAAAATGAGAACAGAGACACAACTGATAAAACGAACACGGTAAAGGGAATGCTGTTTCTTCTGCATAGTGATTTCTGTTTCAGCATATTGGAAATAGAGTCGCCATTAAAAGAAACTAGTTTATGTATTTTGAACCTTTAACAGATGCAAACACTTTCGAGTGCTAATAATTCACTAGGTTAATTTAACAAGGACCTTTTAATAATT